TCCGATCGGGTCTGGCTGAAAAACTGACAGGCGGACCTGATCAAACCGCTCTTGTGAAAGGGACCCAATAGTTCCCTCTCAGTACCAGTAACAGTGGTCACCAGGACAAATAGGTAGAGTAAATGTCCCTAATGGAACCTAAAAGAGGTTCCAATTGCTAACCACCCTATCCAAAAAAAATAAAAATGGCTTAGATACTCTAACATTTACAACACAAGATTTGTATATAACGTATATACCTATATCTCTGGATCTAATGATTGTTTTGACAGGCTAAAGGTACCTTTTGCTAATGTGTTTTTTCATTATATATGAAGATTAAATGGCCCACTGAAATGAATTGAACACTTTAAATTAAATAAAACAAAGTTAATTCATCTAATTTATCCTAGAACATTTTGCATAGACGGTTTAGCTTCAGGAGGTCACCGAAACTTCCAAGGGTTAATGTGAACAGTAAACCCTTTCCTAGAGCCGGAGAGCCCCTGACATAACTGATCTCAGGATTTCACTTTGGCAGGGTGGACGCCAACATTGTGCCAAGAATCAAAAGCTTTTTGGAAAGCAGAACGTAGCGGACTTGCAAAGAGGAGCAGTATTAAGTGTGTCTTTGGCAGTGATTAACAGGGACTCCAGTGGCTTGGCATCACATATACTGTTTGAGTAACAGTCAAATTCCAGCACCTGTTAGAGACTGGGTGGAAGGGAATATGTCTCTTTCTTCAAGGAAAAGATCCTCAGCTAATGTTATTTTTCTCTAAATGCTCGCTCCTCTCTGTGTATTTTTTCAAATTCATCCTGTCCATCAAGTTGTCAGACGTCTTTACAGGAACGCTAATATTCCATAGAAAAACACACATAAGCTTTGCGAGGGTTGTGACCACTATTTTCTGAGAACATATGTTCCTGTGTATCGCACTCACCGCAAGACTTCAAGACTATACAGCAATTCATCAAAGTGTGGTTGTGTTTGAAGGCTCATCAGCTGAAACCAGAAATCCCGTACAAATAAAGACATATTTCAATTAAAGAATATAGGGAGGACGTAGTAAATATTATTTGTACGTGTGGTGACTGCAACCTGACTCAAGTTGGGCACAGCTCCACAGAAAGCATTTAACCACAGTGCTTCAACAAGACCTAGCAAACCAACAGCAGACTGGGTGAAGATGAAGCTAAGACTACCAGAAAGCTCTCTTTGAGTGGCTAGTGTTCTCGGTTACAATTCTCACAAGGGTTTACAAGTCATGGTTTCTGACCAGCGTTTTCAGCTATTATTCTGAAAAAGGGCTCTAAGCATGGTTCCTGGCTAGTGTTCTCAGCTTTTATTCTGGAAAGTGGTTGTAAGCGATGGTTCCTGGCTAGTGTTCTCAGCTATTATTCTGAAAAGGGGTTGTAAGAATGGTTCCTGGCTAGTGTTCTCAGCTAGTATTCTGAAAAAGGGTTGTAAGCCATGGTTCCTGGCTAGTGTTCTCAGCTAGTATTCTGAAAAGGGGCTGTAAGCATGGTTCCTGGCGAGTGTTTTCAGCTATTATTCTGAAAAAGGGTTGTAAGCCATGGTTCCTGGCTAGTGTTTTCAGCTATTATTCTGAAAATGGGCTGTAAGCATGGTTCCTGGCGAGTGTTCTCAGCTATTATTCTGAAAATGGGCTGTAAGCATGGTTCCTGGCGAGTGTTTTCAGCTATTATTCTGAAAAGGGGTTGTAAGCCATGTGCTTTGACGTGCATCCACGCAACATTTTAAAAACATGCAACGCACTTTGGTAAAACGTGTGGGTTTTTTTTGACATGTGAATTTGTGTCAAATGTGCACAATCGCGCAGGAAAAAATGGTGGCATGCTCGCAGCTGGAAATGCTAAATGAGCTATTTTGCTGCCTTTGTTGCATTTGCGGCAGCCCATTGATTGAATGGGCTGATGCGCGGAAACCGTGGCAAAAACGCATGTGAATGTGAATTAAGTGTTAACAGGGCGTAAAGGAGAAATCTAAAGTTAAAAAAGTCTGTTAAAAATAATATTATAGTTAGTTAGATCAGGGCTTGATATAGGGTAGGGTTAGAGTCAGCGTTAACATCAGTGTTAAGTAGGGTATACATGGTTCTATTTTTTTTTCATTCAAACCATGGGCTGAATGAAAAAAAATAGAACACATTCCTCCACCAATGCAAGGCTTCTGATTGGCTGCTCTCCGTTCGGCTGAGAATTTTCCAACTGGCCTCTTCAACAGGCCCGGCGCTACCGCAAGGCAAGGCAAGCGGCCGCCTGAGGGCGCTGCAGGGTGAGGGCTGAAAAAACAGGGCTGCCAGAGGATCCCGACATGCGCGGCACCTCTGGCAGTCGCCGGCCTGCTAAATTAGGACCCCACCTGGAGCTCCTCCCACCGGACTGACTCGCCGCTGCTTTCACGCACCGAAGGTAAGTGAAGAAAGAAAAAACATGCTGAAAGGGAGCAGGTCCAGCGCTACATGGGGGTCGGGGAGGGGGTTGGGAGGGGGGGGGCGCAAAGATGCAACTTTGCCTCTCTAGGCAAAAATCCTAGCATCGGCCCTGCTCTTCAATCAGCTGATTGAGGGATTCTAGGCAGAAGGGTGCTGACAGCTGCACCCACAGGATGAATTTCGGCTGGTGTGTGCTCTATTGTTGGTACAAACAACAAAAAACGCACATATATATGGTAGCAGTGAAAGCCAGGAGTAGGAGAATTTATTATGGTTTGTTTTCTGGTGGTGGGTCATGGTAAAGGTAAGAAATATACAATTTTAGGCCAGTTTTACTTTAATTGTTAAAGAAAAAAAAAAAATCAGGTAATATCCATTAACATTTACCACCAAATGAAGGCCGATCTGTTTTAAACAAAGTATAATTCTCCTAGATACACTAGTAGTAGCAAAGATATGTACAGTTATACTAACACATGCCAAAGTTGCAGAACTGGGTTCAGATTTTTAAGGACATCAGCTGCGGAGACAGTAGTACCAGTTTTAACACATCTCTGTGGCTAACGGAGGGCAGAGTAATACAGAGATTAGAAAGATTAAATATAAACAAATTGCCAGGACCAGATGGGTTACATCTGAAGGCACTAAGGGAACTTAGTCAAGTCATAGACAGGCCTTTGTACAAAATTTTTATGGATTGTATAATGTCAGGTATGGTCCCGTTGATTTGAGGACAGCAAATGTAGTACCAATATTCAAAAAGGGGAAAAGAAGTCCACCAGGTAACTACCGGCCTGTCAGCTTAACATCAATAGTGTGTAAAATATTTGAAGGCATGATAAGGGACTACGTGTAGGAATTTACACATAAAACTGGTATCGTAAGTGGAAACCAACATGGTTTTATGAAGGACCGCTCTTGTCAGACCAATCTATTAACATTTTATGAGGAAGTCAGTACTAAATTAGACAAAGGAATGCCAGTAGATGTGGTGTATCTGGACTTTGCTAAAGCATTCAACACAGTACCGCACAAATGTTTAATCTATAAACTAAGGTCTATAGGTCTAGATGAAATTGTATGCACATGGGTGGAAAATTGACTGCAAGAACAGACCCAGGGGGTAGTGATAAATGGGTCATGGGAACGATCCTGTTCATCTTATTAATCCATGACATAGAGACTGGACTAAATAGCTCATTTTAGTTTTTGCGGATGATACCAAACTGCAGAGGGGTAAATTCCGAACATGAGACATTCGTACTACAACAGGACCTAAGCAAGGTTAAGGCATGGGCTACAAGATGGCAAATGCAATTTAATGTTAAAAATGTAAGGTTATGCACATGGGAGTAAAGAACATGTGTGCAAATTACTACTTGGGGGGTGCTACATTAGTGAAGTCAGCAAAGCTAACAAGATACTGGCGTGTATTAACCAGTTGACATCCGCGGTGTTAAACCCCTTCCCATCCAGGCCATTTTTCAGTATTCAGCGCTGTGGTACTTTAACTGACATTTATTCCGTCATGCAGCGCTGTACTGAAATTTTATACCCTTTTTTGGGGACAGATAGAGCTTTCTTTTGGTGGTATTTATTCACCACTGGGGGTTTTATTTTTTTACTATATTAAGGAAAAATTACCGAAATTTAAAAAAAAAAACAGTTTCCCCTATATTAAATGATAAAACATTTATTATTACCCAATTTTTTGGTAAAATATAAAAGATGGGGTCACGTCGGGTAAAAAGACACTAAACATAGAAAGTGGCGTAGTGGTTAGTGCTTCTGCCTTGCAGCACTGAGGGTCCCCGGTTCGAACCCCAGCCAGGGTCACTATCTGCAAGGAGTTTGCATGTTCTCCCTGTGCTTGTGTGGGTTTCCTCCCACACTTCAAAGACATGCTGGTAGGTTAATTGGCTCCTCTCTAAGTTGGCCCTCTATGTATACATGTGAGATAGGGACCTTAGATTGTAAGCTCCTTGAGGGTAGGGACTTATGTGAATGTGCAACTATGTTAAGTGCTGCGTAAATTGTCAGCGCTATATAAATACCTGTAATAAATAAAAATCTTGAGTATGTACTACAGTTCTGGTTGCAGACTCCCATTAGCAGTGACGTGCGGTACCTTCCGTGCTGGGTGAAGCATTGTCCCAGCCCCTCCCGGGCCTCAACACTTTAAGATTAAACAGAAGAAACGGTTTAATCCTAAAACTGAACCCAGGGACACAACAAGAAGTTAGAAGAGGGAGGATTCAATCTCAGAATTCACAAGGGGTATTTCAGTGTGAAAGTTTGGAATTCCCTTCCACAGGCGGTGGTATCTGCTGATAACAGGAGGACACAATAAGTTCAGAATGATGATAGGGAGAAAAGAAAGGCAATTAATCATTACCAAGACAACGCAGCCAATATGTACAAGAAGAAAATGTGTTATAACTTGACCTTGCACTTTAAATAAAATTAATGTTTCTCCTGTTATGGTTTTAAAGGAATGATAAGTGTTAAACCAACAAAAGGCCAATCAACTGATAATTTATCTGGCAAAATTTAGTCTCTTACCAATACCACCGTTGGCTCCGGTGATGATGATGACTTTCGATGAAAGATCACAGCCCTGCAGAATGTCCATCGCAGTGGTGTTCCCATCATACTTTTGCCTTGTGTTCATCTTCGCAGGCTGATCTTCTACAGTAAAGGCAAGCCTGGGATCCAGGTAAGTGGTCCTTTTATTTAGGTGGCTGCAGGAGAGAAAGCTTATGTGAGATTCCTGCTCTATTTGGTTCCACCATTTTCCAATAAAGAGGTTTTCTAGCTAGGCAATTATTTTATCCCAATTTAACTTGAAAGAATGCTAGTTCTCTGGCTGCTACATTGATGCAATGGCCAGTACTTTCTCAGTAACAGACCTGGAATAGGTATGTTGACTTGTTTCTGCCTTCACTAGTTGTATGCCTGTTCTGGGCAAGCGACCAAGTATGTATAGAAGCCAGAGACATCCAGTAAACTAGCATTTTTAGAAGGGGATCAACAGTGGCAGCCCTCTGTATTTTTCCCAGTAGTGGTTTCCTTTAACATTTAACGTGGAACAATAGTGTATTTTCACATTTTTGAGCCATTACTGTAACATTTATTTCAAAACAGTTCTACGATGTCCCTTTGACATTTGTCCTTACACACTGTTCCATATTTTGTTTGTTATATTCCACATAAAGTTTTATCAATGCTCCCTCTAGTGGGGGTCATAATTCAGTATTACTAAACAGAGAGATACAGTATATGTAGGCTGCCTCTATTGACATCCTTTTAAAAATGCTAAATTGTCTGGCCATGTTGACTCAATGGTGTAAATTCTAACCCAGAAAAAGTATTCAGCAATTGAAGCATGAAGTAAGATTTGCGTACTTTTTCCAAGTTGGTACCTGGTGCCCAACACACTTTCTGCCAAAACTCAATGTGTGGCCCGCTGCTGTGCTCCATACTTCAACTCAGGTCTGGAGCCAGCATACTGCACATGAGTGGAAGTGGCTCCGACGGGCTGTGGTGCTGGAACATCCGATTGTCAATAACAGCTGCAAACCAGCACTAGGCCCAGGAGCTAAATGATTGTCCAGACAAGAACAGTTTGTTCCCGGACCAAAAAAGCATCCCAATGTATCCCTATGGTATTTCTGGGCTATGTTCACACCAGCACAGTCCGTTGCGGTCCAGACAAAAGAAATACTGCTTGTCTCATTTTTTGGAATGCACTGGAACGCATGGAAATACATACAAACACGTACAAATGCACTGGAACACACTGGACTGCACCTGAAAGCACATTTTAAGCTGGGAAAAAATGGTGGTAAAATTGTGGTAAAAATGCATTTGCAGATCTGGTCCAGACATGGTGTGAGCAAAGCCTAAAGGGAAGTGCTGTGACAGCCTGAGCACTTTAGGGTCAATTCCCAAAGCTTTTTTTCCAGATTCCGCTCGTTATTTCATCGATTTCGCACGATATTGAAGCTTATTCAATTCACCAAACGATTTAACGCTTTGAAAAATCATTAAATAACGTCTTACTACACGGAACTGATATTTTAAGGTTTGGATCGTTATTAAACGTTTCGATCATTGTTTTAGCAAGTCAAATCGTTAAATATGTACAGAAGTGCAATTCACAAAGATTTTTGGGCCAGATATCGATCGTTAAACAATCATTACATAAGCACCTCCCTCAGGGTGTCGTTATCACATTTCCCTGGCGGTATTTCTTTGTTAAGGTGCCCATACACTGCACGATTATCGTACGATAATCGTATGCGATCGGGTTTTCTGCGTCAGCATGTTGTTCTGATTTATAAACGTGTTTTCCGTTCTCCCACTATTTTGGATGACTTTTCTGAAACCCAGGTGATAGCTAAATTCCGTTTAACATCTCCCATGATTCATTCTCTGTATGAGGAAATACACATGGCTTTAGAAAAACGCACACAGAGAAGTTATGCAGTACAAGGCCTTGTGCGTTTTTTGGCAGTTCTCCATTTTTTAGGAAAGGCCTCATACCAACAGGTTAGTGGGGAGATTGTTGGAATCTCACAGCCAAGCTTTTCCCGAAGCTTTGTGGAGGTCCAGCAAACACTGCGCCAACTTGCTCCTAAATATATTCATATGGGCAATTCACGTGAAGAGCGGGATCAAGTCAAGCGTGGTTTTTTTGACCTTGCAGGAATGCCCAATGTCATTGGGGCAATAGACTGCACCCACTCCAGAATGCCTGCTTAGACACGGTAGAGCCATCTCAGATCAGCCTAGACAAGTTAGAGCCATCTCAGATCAGCCCAGCCTATCATTGTGATCATCTGAGATTAGATCCCACTCACACGGACGGTCTGATTAGATATGTTTTTCAGGCAGATCTGATCAGAAACTGAATGTTAGTCTACGGGCTGACAGATGTAAATGGATATGAGTCTGTTTACATCCAATTATCTCCGAGTCTGTCTAGGTCTGGAAAAACACCCGGATCCTTTTCCATTTTTTCCAACCTAAATGTGATGGATTGGCGGTAAAAGGATGTAAACGGGCACACGTCCATTTACATCTGTTGGCTCATAGAATAGCATGAGTCTGTTAAGCTTCTTTTTTTTTTTTCCTTCATCACAAGAGGGAAGAAAACAATGAACAGAAATGGATGTCCCAAAAGTGAGATCCGTTCTGTTGGGCTCTGATTTAGCAGGGGATCTGTTCATGTACCCCCTGCTGATCGGAACACATGCTGCCCATATGAAAGGGACCTTAGATGCTGCTATGCTCACTCAGGTTTCATCTCTAGGTGCATCTGACCTGCAGTTGATTTCCAAAGCTGCATCAACAAACGTCAAGCTGCTTTTGCATTCCTGGTGACTTGTATTGGGAGAAAAACAACAAGAAACAAAAGCCCATTGACACATACATGCATGCATACATACTCACTCGACAAAATATATTTGCCCGTTTTCATCAGTTTCTTGTTCCCACCCATATGGCAGATCTGAAAGATGCATACATGCAGATTAGTAACTTTCTAATCAGTTTAGACAGCTGGGGGGGAAAAAGATATCAGAGAAAACAAAAACATTCCTGGCTGTTAGCCAATTCCTCAGTGCATAAAGAAATAATACATAATAAAATCATAACTTACAGCAGGTAACATAGTTCAGTTATCTGTATATTAAAATATATTTTTTTTAAACTACAAATATGTATATACACTGTCTGTCCAACTAAAAAGTTACCATCTACATATAGCTAAGGAGATAGATAAGAGCCTTCCAGTAAATAATAGGTCTAGGTCCAGGAACATTATGAGCCTAAAAAATGAGGTCAGCTGTCTTATTGAATGACCAGTTTTTTCCATCAATTTGTTTGTTTTTTTACATGATGGCACCGGCATAGTCCAAAATGACAATGCCATGATTCATCGGGTTCAAATTGTGAAAGAGTGGTTCATGGAGCATGAGACATAATTTTCACACATGGATTGGCCACCACCGGACCCTAACCCCATTGAGAATCTTTGGGATGTGCTGGAGAAGACTTTATGCAGTGGTCGAACTCTCCCATCACTGCCCCCCCTACAGTTCCCTCCGCTCACTAGGAAGTAGTATCTGCCACAGTGAGCACCTGCCAGCTTTGATCCTATCGTCCTCACTCTGCCTCTGAGAAAATATATATTAAGAACTATGAGGTATTTAAAATGAGTATGTACATAATTTTCCCCTTGATGAGAGCAAGGCAGACTGGGTCTTCCCTCCTCTTTGATCCCTATGTCCCCACCACAGACCACACAGAGGAAAGGCATGTACTTTAATGCTGTTCCTCTCTTATAATAGGATCCGTGTTGACCTTGACACACAATGTTTTACTAGCCACTCTTGGTCCCCAGAGGAAGCACATCAGCAAAACACATCCGGGCAAAGGCCTATAAATGCAAGCCATTAAAAATTACCGCTCTTCACTGTCTAAGAAAAAAGAAGATGACAAATGGATAACAAATGGTTTTTAATTGGTATAAGCTAGCAATGTGGCAGCGTTAGACATTAGCCCTATTGGATAGGGGGCTCATTCAATCATGTTTTTAACTTTTTGTAAACAATTTTATCATGTTTTTGTATAAATAAAATATACTTTTTAGCCAACTTGTGCAATGGTGGCGCGCCTCTTTAAACCCCAAAAATTTCTGGTATGTGCTAACTATCTAAACTAGGAGGCGAGGTGCCTTTCAGACTGAGTAAGTCTGGTGTTTGTGTTGTGTTATATTGTCTTCACAAATATGGCAGCCTGGAAATGATCAGCCAATAGAACAGTGACAGCCATTCCACCAAGACATGAGATCAACACTGACTAATGAATAGACATATTGAACAAATGGGGTAAGATTGTGAGGTTTTCATTCAGTTAAAAGAGAACTATGGGGTAAGTGCTTTCCCCCATAGTTCTCTTTAGGGTCACTGGGGGACATATACTAGCGTCCTCCCGTGACCCAAAACCCAGTACATCGTGGGCTATGGCCCGCGATATACTGTGAGCGCCGAAGTCGCGACAGATCCCGACATTAATGTCGAGATCCACGCAGCCCTGCCTATCTAGAGCCAGCTGTGCCCGCCCCTCCTCCGTTCGTTCCTCCACTCAGCGCTGGAGGATCGAAAGGGGGGGAATAAATGCGGGGAGCGGTGACTGACAGTCACAGCTCACTGCAGGGAGACAATCAGGAAGTGAGCAGGTCGGTGCATGTTTCTGCTCACTTCCTGATCGATAGAGCCGACCTGTGACAGCTTCTTTGTCACATAGGTCGGCTCTAACTATGTGAATGAGTGAAAATCGCTCACCTCATAGATCTCCTTTAAATCCTTCTGTGTATGACCAACCAGTATAGAGAAAAAGCAATGGCATAAAAATAATCAGGAGCTATAATATGTAACACAGGCTAATAAAATGCTTATATCCTGTACCTCCCACTGCTCCTGATACACAAAGTTGCTCATGCAGGAAACATTACTCCTATAATTCACCGCTTTATAAAGGAAACAAGATGAATTAAAGACAGTGAAGTCATTACAAACCTCCTGCAATTCTCTTCCGCTTTCCCGTTTTTGGGTGCTCCCACTGAGTTTTCTCATCTAAATGGCTGTTAAATGAAAAACAGAAAGAATGCTTTATCATCGCATAAGTCACCGATCCCAGCGGGTTATACAGCACTTTATTAGATTGTATGTAAACCCTAACAATAAACTTCTTTTATATGTTCCCTTTTCATCTGTCTAACAGTGAAAGTATTTTGGTATATCTGTTCGATTAGTGCAAAAAAAATACATGTTGATCCTCCAAGAAATTTGTCGTTTTATGTCCTGTTCACACTACACATGTTAAGGAGTGTAATCAGCCCTCACAGTGTTTTCTTGGACTACAAACCAATTCTTCCCCTAGCCCGTAGAGACCAAAAAAGGAGGTTGATTCAGCTGTTTAGCAAAAGACAACTGGGCAGGGCTGACACCTCTCAGTTCACAAAAATGCTTCACGAAATATCACCACAATGTAGAGAGTGGGGGATTCAATAGTTTATCATGAGACAACAAGACAGGGCTGATACCATCTAGAAGATATGTTATCCGCACACTATCCTGGTTCGGAATGCCCTTTTTATCCATATTCCGTTTTTCACAATTATTCATCTGGAGATCTACTTTTCAAATGACGAGCTCAATGAGATCTACCAATGAAAAAACACCTGCATTCAGGGGCGGGAGGGGTGCTGCGGTGCATTGAAGTCAATGGCACTTCAGCCACACCCCCGCTGGCAGTGCGATTGCCCGTTCTGGTCCAGTGCGATCAGCAAAGTTGCTGCAAGCACTATTTTTGCAGATCGTACTGGACAGGAACGCGGGCCCTAATGTGCCTGTGTTCTATGTGCAGGTGGGCGATTGGCGTGGCACAATTGACTTTAATGTACCAACACGCCCCCTCCACCCCTGAACGCAGGGAGTTGGCCAGATTGCGTTCCAGTGCGTTCTAGAGGCCGAACACTCTGGAATGCAGATTTTGTGGTGTGAACCGGCCCTCTCGCCTCTCACTTGGCTGTCTTTTCTTATTCTCCTCGTGCTCTCTCTCTGTGCTCTCTCCCCTGTTTCTATCTGCTGTCTCTTCTCTCTGCTGTCCCTTGTCTCACTTTCTCTGCCGTCTCTTCTCTCTCTCTCTGCTGTCTCTTCTCTAACTATCTTTGCTGTCTCTTCTCTCTCTCTCTGCTGCCTCTTCTCTCACTTTCTCTGCTGTCTTTCTTCTCTCTCTCGCTCTGCTGTCTCTTCTCTCACATCTGCGATCTCTCTCCTGTCTTTTTTTTTCTTACCTCCACTGAAGCAGCTTCCGGGTCTCCTCTCGTGCAACGACGTCCTGTCCTCCCGCAGTGCTCGTGTGGCCGGCGCTGCACACGGGGAGAAGTGTCCCACCCCTTCCCGTCTGCAGCGGCTGGCACATTCAGCCGCACGAAACCGCGGGAGCACAGGACACAGGTCAGTGAGCCGATCGCGATCTACCAGTGTTCGCTTTGACATCGACTGGTAGATCACAATCGACCTAATGGGCTCCCCTGCTATAGCATGACATGTGAATGCAATGTTGCGGAGCCTCACAAGCCCCCTTTGTCAGGCACAGCGTCCAAGACTTTGCCTGACGAAGGGGTCCTGTGAGGCCCAGAAATGTTGCATTCACATATCACGCTAAAGGAATACTAATAAAAAGGGCATTTCGAAGCAGAATGGTGTGCGGACAACATATGTTCTAGATTGTATATTGTGGCGCCATCACCAGTTGTTCCAGCACCTGTTGGATTTTGGGGTACATCGGTACGGTGTGCGAAGGGGATATTACAAAGACAGGGCTGACACCATTACTCGGAATTTCAGTCCATAAAAGGAATGTGGTGTCAGCCACAACAGTAAAATAGAATGTTGAGTGCATTTCTGGCAGATCAAAGGGTATATTTCAGTACCGCTAGGGTCTTTAAAGGGATAAAACATGGGAAAATGCGCATGTACTACAGAGACGTACTAGATGGGGTTTTTTTTGCACTGACATACACTTTAACAGTACCAACCAAGTTGTAAGCAAACCATTGTATAACCTGTTGCCATTTCCAATAGAATTTGAGTTTCTACAAAAGTGGCCCTGACCTTGCTTTGTGTTCATGCCCTATATCTTGCATACGGCAG